ATTGTTCAAGCAAAGCACTGGAAAAGTTTGAATATGGAAAGACTGAATACAAAGTACATAATCAAGTTCCTAATTCACCTTGTGTTTTCTTTTTTCTCTATGATCTTAATCACTGCCTTTTTCACAGTTGGTATTCACAACTTCTTTGCAGGATGTGCTGGCACATTTACTCCCTTCTATGCTATTTCTATGTCTCGTTTCCTTTATTCCTCCATGTTCTTCTTCTGTATTTCCATTTTAACTACTTCATGTTGCTTAGCAACACCCAGAATGACACCAACAAGGTACGGTCCCACTGCATCTAACAAGTTTCACCTTACAAGGAACAAAATACAATTTAACTTCACACTCCTAGTGAATTCACTTCCTCAGAACAGCACCGATCACTAATTTATATCTTCTTAATCCGATGTTTTCTATGAAAGCTAAGAGCAAGTCAAACACACAGAAACACAGAGCATTTCATAGGATATTTGCACCTTTCAGTTTTCCTCTGTTTTGCTCTGAGATTGTTAACCTGCCAATACAACAAGAAACCTAAAACAAAAGAAGGTTTTAGATCCTAGCTTTCCCAACATGCATGTTCTCAGTTAGAACCCAAACTTTATAAAAATTGGAAGATGCATAGATTGTAAGACTGAAGTCTGGTCACAAACCTGATTAAATACCATCCAGATGTTTCCAATAAACATCTGGAATATCCAAAATTTTATACCACATTGCTTTCTCCCTTGGCAGAAGAGAACAGAAACAAAACAAATGGGCTAAGCTGCTTTTTTATTATTATTATTATTATTATTATTTACAATCGTTTTGGACAACTTATTTTACCAGAAATATTATGAAGATGGGACAAGAAATATAGTACCTTATATGTCACAAGCTGTTATCAATTCCAAATCACGCAAGAGAAATTTTTTTCCACACAAAATCACAATGTGAAACACTCAAATGCCCTTCTGATCTTCACTGAAATGTTCTGCTTCTGAGGGGAAAAATGGAAACTGATTTTTTTGTTTAAAAATATGCTTTTAAAAATCAGTTACTGGTTAAAAAGATTTGTTATGTTTTGAAATCTGAATACATATGGGACTTGAGATTTACACATTTTTCTGGAATCATTACAAATGCTGTTTACAAAGTCAAGGCCACTCCCTGAAATATATTGGAAAAAAATTACATTTATTCGGTAAAATTCCTTGAAAAATAATTAACATTTTCACACTAGCTTCAGAAAGAAGCTAATTTCCAAACTGGCAAGGCTCTGCACTGGACTGAGAAATCCTGGCTTTGGATTTATAAACTATGTTCATAAAAACTAGAGAGGAACATGAATGTCATACCTACTCATACATCTAGATACATATCTTCAAAATAAATTCTCTGATCTCCAGTCACACAAAACTTAAATTAACTACTTGATTTCACCTGGCTTTTGTTCAGCCCCTGGGATCACGTCCTGTCAGCCCTGGAGATACTTTTATTCAGCAAGCAAAAGTCACAATGAATAATACTTATTCAGCCAACTACAGCAGTTAATTAGGTTTTTTTAGGGTCTGGTTCAGTAGCCCTTACTCATATTGAGTAATATTCACCGCACAAATAGTCCTGCTGTTGCAGCCGCATTAATCATCAAAAGCACTGGTGAACTAAGCCCTGAATAAGTAAGAACTTTTACATTTAACCAAGTATGGTAATTTTGTCCCAAATATCCACATACCTCCTGACATACAAAAAAATGCTCAGTTACTGGTAACCTACTGAACAACAGTGTGCTTACATAATGTATAACTATTATTATACTGTACTACATTTTTATAGTTTTATTATTGGAATCGGTGTGGCACCAAGTAACAGCAAAACTGTGTCCATGCTAAAACTACATATGCCTCTGTATAGTTCTGGTTCTAACATATCTGTGAAACCTAACTAAGAAAATAGGTGACGGAGAGAGATTAAATTCTGAGTTCTCAATATACAGAAAAAATTCTAACAGTAGCAGACAAGCCTAATACCTCCTTAACACTAAATCTCTCTCTGGAGAGAGTTCCTGGTTCCTGGAATGAAAAAAAAAAAAAAAAAAAAAATCTGTAATATAGTTGAATGATATAAAAAGAAAACAAAGAAACTACCTCTGTTTCTAGGTATCCCTTGCTTTCCAACAAACACTTGTACATAAATAAAGTTAGGATATCTTACCAGGAAACAAGACCAAACAGAGAAATAAAACCAGTATTACTTGCTCGGTATTGTTTGTTTCTCACCATCCTTTTTGTCCCTTTTATTTTGACTTTCTATTCTACGCAGTGAGTCCTTATGTATAGATAGAAATATACATATATATGCCCTCCCTGAGTACATAAAGGATTATGCATGGTGACTCATCTGCTCTCATGCTGACCCTGCTACCAGCAGGTCTTAAAAATAAATCCAAATTAATAAAAACAGCTTAGAATCAACTCCAGCAAAGAGACAATAAAGCTCCGTTGCCAGTGAAAAAGAAAATAAATAGACATTTCAGTGTCTGAAGTTGGGCCCTTAAACTAACTGGTGTGCAGAGGTATCATTTCACATTGCCCTGGGCTTGCCTCTTCCGGATTGAATTCAGATGAAATTCCGATGGATGTGGGCAAAAGTTACTCAAAATTATAGGTTACTTAGAGTCATAGAAGCAGCCACAGCTACAGGAGCAGAGTTACTGATGTTAGATGTGACAGCAACTGAAGAAAGCTCACGGTCTGCATAGTGCATTTCCACTCTATTCTTTACAGAAGAAGCCCTGCTGCCACCTCACCTAAACCCGAGGGTTCAGGGAGTATGATCCGGGCTAAAGCCTCTACATCAGGTAATCTCTGTGCCCTCTGCTGTGCCTTAAACTCCTCTTCAAGGCACAGAAGCACAGACTGGCCTCTCTCTGCGATAGGAACATGCTTACCCCCAGGGTTACTGTGATCTACGGAAACACCTTCCCTAACACACAAGTGCGCTTTGCAGATTGTGTCTGAGATCAGTACTCCCTGAAAACGTTCCAGTTGTTTATATTCTGAACAAGATTTGCCTTTGGAGTTTGCTTGTTTGTTTAATGCCACCCCTGTGTTACAAACACTTCATGTTTTATCAGATTTTTAATAGTAGCTCCACTTACAAGTGTATTTATAGAATAACTATGAGTAAATGCCTCTTTTCTATCATGTTTTATAAGTGAAGAAGCAAAATATTCTGAATGTGCCGCTACCTATTCATGAAGTTTGTATTCAAGCTGATATTGATAGAAATTAGAAAAACACAAGCCATTTTTTACTGGTTTTGGTGTACCACCTTGTAGGTGTCTGCAAGAACTACAAATAATAAACCTTTAATAGCTGAAGCTGACTATTTCTGACATTATGTTGATACAATTCAGAGGGGAAAAAAAAAAAAAAGGAAAAAAACCCACAACAACCAATAGCAGGTCATTGGTGAAACAAGGATAAGTAAAAAAAAAAAAATAAAAAAGAGATTCCAACCTTGAGTTTGAGCACAGGCTGCCTGCATAACAGTGAGGACTATACACTTTGAACTACAAAGCCAGAAAAACTTCCAACAAAAATTGTTACGTCTCTGCCTAAAAGCACCTCATTCAAAAGAAGAAATTATTTCCTAGCATGGCAACTCTTCTAAGATCTATTCCATACACAGAACATTTCTCTTTCAGGAGAGTGTTAGCCTTATCATCATGTTTTCTTGCTAGCCTTGCCTGATAGGCAAAAAATTGCTCTCTAGCATGTCAAATGTCTGTGCACAAGAGCTTGCACAAAGTGGAAATTACACTGTTTTCCACATCAAGGAAAGAAAAGAGGGGCTCCGTAAACTAAGCATACAGGGGAAGGCGCCCTTTGGATCAACAGGTCAAGTGAGCACTTCTCACAATGACTGCACTATTTACTCAAGTGACGACCCCATCAAGATCAACAGGAGAAACTGTGTATAGAGGCAGCTCAGTGACAGAGCATTTTGAAATCTTGATTAATTTTTGCTGCTTGTCAATTTTTTTCTCTCCACATTTTTTTTTTCCAGAGAGCATAAACATAAAGCATGCATTTAATTTATTTTGTTCTCAGTTAAGAAGTAGAGGAATCCTAAGAATTTAATCCTTCCAGACTTTTCATCCAGTCATTTCCACCAAACGCTCGGGAAGAAAACATTACAAACACACCAAATTAGGCCCAAGTGAATTCATGTGTTCCTAACAAATTAAATACACTGATGATGGCAAAGGAATGAGAATTCCTGTTGCAAATACTTCTCACTTAGCTCGTATTTTGGTTTTAGAAACTTCAGCTGGACTTATCATGAAACAACTTCCTATAAGGCTAAACAGTTGGAAGCGTACAACAAACAATATTTTCGGCTACACGACTGTCTGCTCAAACAAGAGAGAAGAAATATTTCTTCTTTGCATGCTTGCACAGCAGCAGCTGGAATCTAGTTCTGGACTGGCAGCTCCTGCCCTCTCACTCCACAGATTTTCTGTGAGCAACCCTGCAGACTGGCAAATGAAAAAGAGGTACAGTATTACCGTGTCTCCAACAAATAAACTGCATCCAAGCTGCTTTTGAGGAAAGAACTCAGTCAGAGTCAGAGACTTGCCCCCACACTGCTTTTAGCACACCTCAAAGAGTGGGCCTCATCTTCCCAGGACTGAAGCCACTCGACGTCAAACTGAGGAGAAAGCTGTAGTTGGTGGAGTGGTGCAGATTAAAATGCATTAGAGGATCTCTGGCACAGCCAAGCTCCCCACCCCACTCCACCCAACCCTGGTGTAGGCATACAGACCCACATATACCGTATGGATAGGGCAAACACTATTCAGAAAGGGTTTGAGATTCCCCTTTTTCCACCAACACAACCCTGATAACACCATCTCATGGGGAGCTTTGTGGCAGGTTCACGGACAGGAAGGCCAGCCAAAACCTCCATCCCACCCTGGCGGAAACAGACCAACAAAAGGCTACAGTGGCTCCAGAAAGAAAATCTCTGTATTAAAAGCCAAATTACGCAGAGCTACATTAATAAATACACACTATCTCAACCGGGAAATACAGTGTAAAAGATTCATTAAAGTTCAGCTTCAGCAATAACAATATATATATCGCTTCAGTTCTCCATCCTGCCAAGAGAGGTGTCCCTTTCTGTCCATAAAGGAAAAACACCACTCAAACTGTATCCTATATGAAAACGCTACTGCGATGACACTAAATATGGCCAAATAGGAGGTTCTCTGATTTCCTCCTTTGATTTTTTTGGGTGGACCTTTTTTTTTTTTTCCTTTTTTTTCTTTTTTTTTTTTTTTTTAACAAAAGGTTCGTTTAAAACGGGTATTAAAGATACAAAACGCGCACACAGCTCCCCTCGGGGCCGCTCCCCTCGGAGCCGGGCAGTGCCGGCCGGGCGCTGAGGCAGCCCCGCGGCCCGCCGCGCACCTGTGGCACGCTTTAAACAACAAAAACACGACAGAGTCCGTCCCGCGTCCCTCCACAGCACACGACGAAGAGAAGGGGGGTCACCGGGACAGGCTACTTGGCGGCGGTGGCGGTGGTGGTGCCGGCGGTGGTGCCGCGGCGCTGCTCCATCCCGTTGGGAAGGAATCCGGCGATGATGGGCACGGGCCAGATGAGGGCGGCCACGCTCCACACGATGATGACCAGAGTCATGAAACACGCCACCAAGGTGGACTCGATGGGCTTGCGGTTCATCCGCCAGCCCGGCTCGCCCTTTAGCTCCTCCAGGCTGAAATCCAGGCAGCAGAAATTCAGCGGCTCCCCTTGCAGCCAGTACTGGCCGGGCTCCGCCGCCGGCGGGTAGGACAGCGAGGAGGAGGAGGAGGAGGAGGAAGAGGAGGAGGCAGCGGCGGCAGCGGGCTGGGGAGCGGTGCCCCGCAGGCGCCCGACCCGCCTGCCCCTCACCCAGCTACAGCCCACGCAGAGGCGCAAGTCCTGCTGAGCGCCGCCGGCCGCCAGCCCCAGGTGCTCGATGAGCAGCGGCGGCCCCACGCGGTGGAAGGCGGCGGAGAAGAAGGCCCGCCCGTGGCTGTTGGTGGAGAAGAGCAGGAGGTCGCACTGGATGCCCAGCGGGCGGCTCCAGCGCACCAGCAGCGAGCTCAGCATCTGCCGCTGCACGCTGATGTTGCAGTGCGGGTCCTCGGCGGGCTGTGGCTGCCCCTGCGGCTGGGGACTCTGCTGCTGTTCCTGCTGCTCCCGCTGCTGCTGCTGCTGCCCGGGGGAGGTGGGAGTGGAAGAGAAAGGCTCTTGGCTAGGGGCAGCCGGCGTGCCCGGGCTGTCGGTGCTCCCTTCCTCCTTGCTCGCTGCGCCGTCGAGGTCCATCTCGAGGCTGGCCAAGGAGCGGGAGGAGGAGTTGGCAGGGGGCAAGAAGAGCTCCTGCTCCTGCTCCTCCTGACCGCTGGCAGCCGCCGAGGGGCTCCAGCCCTGGCAGGGCGGCAGGCAGGCGGCCAGCAGTGCCGGGAAGAGCAGCGGCAGCATGGCATTAACTTAGAGTCGGAGAGGAGGCAGAGGAGGAGGAGGAACGAGAGGCTGCATGGCGCTGCCGGCTGCCATCTGGGAAGGAAAGCACAGTGCTCTCGCCGAGAAAGCGAGAGAAAGGGAAGGAGGGTGGGGGCAGGCGAGGGGGTGGGAGCGGGGCTGGGGCTGCCGCGGCGACGAGCCGAGTGAGTCGGGAGCCTCGGTGACGGCAGCCGCTCCCCCCTTCCCCGCCTCCTCCGCCCCCGGCCCGGCCCGGCAGCGCCCCGGCGGGAGGAGCCGTGAGCCCGGCCGGCCCCGCTGCCGCGCCCGCGGGTGCCGGCCCGGGGCAGCCACACTCCCTGGGCACGCAGAGCTCCCTCCCCCCGGGACCCTCTGCCCTTGGGCAGGGACGTACCTCCCCTCAGGCGGCGATCCATCTCACCCGCCGCCACCGCGCCGGTGCCCCCTCATCCGTCTCCGAGGGCAGAGCCTCTGAGCGCCTCGCCCGCCTCGCCCACCGGGCTGCTTTGTCCGCCCTCCCTCCTCGGTGGGCAGGGGCGAAGGGAAGGGGCTGGCTGCGGAAAGCGCCCGCGGGCCGGGGCGGGGGGCGCGGATGCGGGAAGAACATCCAGGAAGCGACCGCACGCGCCTTCGCTTCGACTTAATGGGGAGGGAACGGGACGGGGGAGACGCGGAGGAAGGGAGTTTAAACTCAGTGACTGGGACCTTCCAGCGGTGCTCTCCAAGTCCAGACTCGGCACCAAACCTGGCCATCGGACGTCCAAAGCTGGCCTTGGGCACCAGGCATCCCACGCGTCCGACGGGCGCTGTCGGTCCTTGCAGCAAAGATTTAAGCGAGGAAGCTTACAAGTAGCACAAAAGCTCCCAAGCGCGGTAGCTGTGAGACTTGGCAGCGTTTTTTGAAACGCTGCTCTATAAGCATGATAGTTTATAATAAGGCTAGATGCTCCCGTTTGGTTTGTGACCCTGTGTTGGTTATACAGTTACGGCACGGTTTGAGGCTTGTTGTGTTACAGTTTGACACTTGGAGACTCGGGGAGGGACAGAACTGATGACACAAATGATGAACGTTTCTTAGTCTTTACCTTGAGCAGTGGGTGGGATAGAGTTACATTTTCCTGGCAAGCATCCAGAACTCTGACTCTCTTCTTTACCTTTGCAGCCCTTTTTCGACAAATACAGATGTGAAAGGGAGATGCTAATCTTTCCCAAGTATATATGGGATAATTTATGTAAATAACAGAATTGAAGTGCATATGGCACTCCTTTGAGATTGGCATTGGTCCCATGTCAGACACGTTCCCACATCGAAGTGACACATGGACACATTCTCTTTTGAAGAATGAGTTACTGTAATATCACTCTCAAGTGTTTCAGGTGAGTGAGAGTAGTGAATGAGGGTATAAAGTAAATTTTCGATTTGGTATAATTCAACATGAATTAAGGAGTGAATCAGTTTTCTCTCAACAAAACCTGTGCCTAAACATATCTTGACAAAACCCAGAGTTGTTTGCCTTCTATTCAAAAGATATCTGAGCACCAAAATGTGTCCAAAGAGTATTGGCTACCCATAGTTTGGCTAGGTTTCTAGTTTTGCTTACTAGAGAACCATGCCTGATGAAATGTTCAAAGCAAGCTGTTTGCTTCCAGTTCTGGGCTTGTGCTCAAATGTTGCAGTACAGTTAATACATTTTTCAGTGCTAGTTCGATGTCTCTTATTTAAGAGTTCTCTGATATTTTTTGTTGCCTGTTGAATGTGTCTTTACATGCATCTCTTGATGTCGTTTGTCATACCCACACACATTTGTGGGACTGTTGTATGTCTATAGACCCCAGACCAGATTAAGAGAGAGCTAGTGTGTAGCAAATAATGCCAAAACCGTGTGGCCACCCATGTGTACAAATTAAAATGCACTGGGATTTTGGCACAAAGGACTGGAAACGAAACTAAACCTCATAAATAAGATTTAGCTCCTGAACACTGTTGCAGTGTGTGGGTGGCATATGTTCTCAGGCAGAGTTTCAGTTCTTTTGGTCTCCACTCCCAGCACCCAGCTGAATGCAGTCAGGGGTATCTGTGAAGAAATTGGAGGGGAGAAGGGTTGAGCAAAGTTTCTCTTTCTGCGAGGAAAGACAACCTGCCACAGGGAGGTTAAATGCATTTAGCATCATTTAGACCTCCATAGCAAAGAACTAAAAGAGAGCAATTTATTTCAGGTTGGAGATGCACGGATGCCTCATATCTATTCCTCTTCATCAAGGAATAATTGAGCAAGTGGGTGGAAGAAGCAGAAAGTATGTTAGATCATTGGTTGATAGGCACTGTCCAGCGGGGCCCTTTAGAGATACTTTATTTCTAGGTCTACCAGATATAATTAATCTCTGCATGGATTCAATCATTCAAAGAGATTGCAGCACACTTGAAAACTCTTTGTAAGCAATATTAATATATATAGCTCTATCCTGTGGTTTTCAGCCATAAATCTCAAAGAACAAAGCAGTTTTATGGCTAGTGAGGCTGAAGCCTAAAGAAATTAGGGGCCAGCCAAAGATGACCTACATGTCACAGGCAGATCAGGGTGTAGATTTTACAGGTTTGATTCTGTAGCTATAACTAGAACTATAATATGCACCATAGGTCACAGGAGCATTTGACAGTATGGTAGAGGAGGTGTGAAGTGGGCTATAATGATAAAATTTTAGAAGGGAATAATGAGGTAACAAGACAGTAGGAGTTTCATGAGACAAACTGCAGAGCTGTTGAGAGGGTAAAGACTAATGTTAAAGGACAAACAGAATATTTGAAGTTGTTTTAATGACATTTTTATTGAAGTATTGCTTGCTAAATACTTCAAGTATGATGAAATCAAGATTAAGTATTTCTGCCTAAGTACCATCAAAATTGCTTCTCGTGAGGGTGCTGTTTTAGAGCCTGAAGTCTCATTGCAGCTGGTGGAAACTGACTCTAAGCAGGTACAGATTCCAGAAAGAAATCTGTGAGTGCATTCAAATCAAAAGCTTGTGATCCTCAGGCAGCATTTCTCGGCAAACTTATGTTGATCTGTACTGAGGAAAGGGAATAACTGTGGAACTTTTTCTTGACAGAGGATTTGCTTTTGAGGTTGTCATTTCTGAGAGGAGTTGTATGTGGGAGAGAAGACGGGAAAGTAGCGGAGTACAGACAGAGTTGGATGCCCAGCCATAACATCACAGAGCTGTTTTTCTGTGGAAAGACACCTACTGTCAATTACAGGAAAAAAGATATTGGGAGCAAGTAAGTATAGTGATGCATTACCAACCTCTGTAAAAGTGCCAAGTAAGTAAGGAGAATTTCACAGTCAGCAGCTGAAGAGGGTCAGGAGAAAGGAGTTGGTACTTGAGCCCTCTCAGAAAAGAGCGGTTTCAGTTCTGTGAAAGGAGTAGGATCAAATCATCCTGAGATTGTTCTGAGAAGTATATTTGTTCCCAGCTGAGGAAAAATATTTCTGTGATACAATTTAGAAGGCTTGGCTAATGGTTTCACAGCTGATGTGAGGGGAGAGTCTCAGTAATGTGAGGAAGTGAACTGATCATATAATGCCTGGGAATTGTGTCCTTTGAAGAGTCATAGATAATCACTGTTTTGCTGGTTGAGGAAGGAGCTAAGGGATGTTTCATACTGCCCACCGATGTGTAGCTTTGATTGTAAGCACAGAGATCAAAACTTTTACTCCTCCTTCTTGCTTGGTATTCTTGTGGATTTGTCAGAAATTATTTGTGATGAAACGGTTAAAGGCCACTGAAGCTTCTGAAACAGATAACAGGAGCTGGTTGGACTAAGCAGCTTGCTACTGCTGCATCGTGTCAGAACAATTTATCTGCAGAGAACAGAGATCATGCACTGCACACAACAAGCCAGGGTTTTGTACCACTCTTTACATGAGTATCAGAAGCCCAGACAAAGGGAACAGCCAGTTGGCAAGCAGGCTGAGAGCAAGGGAGTAATCTTTCCAGAGAAGTCAACACACCTCTCTCAGCAAAGATGCTAAGCCCATCGTTTGACAGGCATTTCTATCAGCAGCAGATACTGCCTCTGCACCACCCTGTCAGTTATACAAACAGATTTCCCTGGAGCCATACAATGCCCCCCATCCAAGAGCTAGGGCAGATGACTGCAATTTTAAAATAACTTCGATAATCACGCCCTTTTTAATTAAAAAACTGTCAACATTTTCAGTCCAACCTTAACCACAATCTTTAACCCCTTATCCAGATCACCACATGCTCCTGCCAAAAGCTGGCTGTACCTATGCGGCTGAGGGAGTGAGGCAAGGTGGCAGGGAAGGTGAGAGCATCTGAGCAGTGGTGGCCAGGCTAGGGCTGTTTAGCCCCTACATGTCAGGATGGGCTCTAGTGGGGCTCCCCACGGTCTGCAAGCCACACAAATGATGGAAGTACGGACCAAGGAAAAGCAACTGTCATCAGGAATCCTAGAAGGATTACTGAAGGAGAGTTATCCATGGCAGTTACTACGAAGTGTAATCCGTCCGTGAATACGGTTTCTAGAAATTTGAAAAACGTTGTTCAGAACATCAGATGGTATCAGTGAGATAGAGGGCCTGCTGGACGAGGACTCTAGGAGCTTTGAGGGGTATTCCTCTTTGGAATTCCATTAGATTGTGCGTTGTACTAGCACAGACTAAAAAGACTGCTTCAGTTCTAAAGATAAGTGTGAAATATATGCAGAGAATGCTAAAGGGAATGTATTAATAGACTTTCAGACCTTTTTTTGTAGCACATTTTATATAGGTTGAGGCTTTTAGGCAAACATTAAAAGTAAACAATAGGAAAAGAAGATTCTATGGGAATGGGTGTAAGAGAGAAGTAGTCCAAACCACTAACTTTGCATCTCCATAGGTGAAGGTGATCTCGAGGTAATCTTAAAACATAAAAAACCCTACAATATGGGTTGGTTAGATCTAGTTGAACTACAAATAGTGGTAAATGCAGTACTTTCATGCATTCAGTTTATACAATGGATAGGATTTGACCTGAAGCAGTGTTCTAGAAGACTGGATTCATGTTCTTGCCAAGCTTCCCACCTGCAGGTTGATTAAAACCCTCACTCATGTGAGACTTCCTCCTGACTGAACTTCTAAAGCTTAGGCAGGATTCATCCCTGGACTATATTTATTTTTGTCTTGTAACTACCACACTTGCTTATTTTATATCTTATTGGCCAGGAGCCTGACTATAATTATAACCATTTTGTCTCATATTTATTTCACCAGCAAACCTAGCCAGTGTTGGAGCTTGGCTCAAACTGGCATTTT